ACGTATACATGCATAATGTAGTTTTGCGCCTGAATACCCGCGCGTGGACGATATTATATCCGCGAAGCATGTGTATATAAATCGACCCGTGAAATCGAGCTTTTTAAAAGACAAAAATTATAACTCGTATTTAAGCTTGATGCACCCGTGATTTTTAAAATTATATATTTCTTCTCCAGATGTAGAATGTAACATATATAGATAGAAATATAGGCTGCGCGGCCAAAGCCAGATTTCGCAAATATACGGAAGCGCGCGCAAATTCACGCGCAAGTGCGAATATATAATATCTATTCAGTGCGGCTGCTGCTGCTGCTGTTTGCACTCCGACGCGCAACCCGTTATACGCGTCGCTTCATCTCTCTCTCTTTTACCCGAGTATGCATGTAATATACGAAATTTTCCAAACGCTCGTATTTATATTTCACTCGCGTATGTATGGATCGTCTCTCTCTATCTCTATCTGCGTTAAAAAGCTCGCGATATTAAAGCTCGCATATCATACGCGCGCCAATATATATATATATCTCGCATATTTTCTATGCTATATATTGAATAGCTGCTGTATGTTTGTGTGTGTGGGAGCGAAAGTTGCACGCGTCGAATATTTATTATGTACGTCGAATATATATCGGGATAGGGAGACTCGCGGATATGCGGATACCGCATCGATATCCAAAATTGACAATATTCCGGGTACTCTGCGGCAGAGATAAAACGGATGGATCGCGTAGTAGTGGTTACACGAAGGTCGAATAGAAACAAAAAAAATATATACGTAATTGGTATTATCTCAGTGCGGTCGGTAGAACCGCCATAATCATCCAAGTACAAAATTTACCTGTATCCGTGCTACCGGGCAGTAGGATCGACTCGTCGCGATACCACGAGGTGACCGTGAGATGCTCCTTGATGTCCTCGCGGGCGGTGCACGACAGCACCGCGTTGTTGCCCTCGTAGACGGGCGATCGATTGACCCGCACCTCGTAGCCCGGCACCGTCAGCACTGCAACACACACAAAGAGAGAGAAAAGATATATGAAAAAATTCGTGCCATTGAGATATAATATCGTGCTCGCTCGAGCCCGCGTAATTACTATATGCGACACGTTAAATGCTAATGTAACGCTTCGAGGATTTGATAATATCATATCGTCGGAGGAGCCCCGAGAGCTGGCGATAAATATAATATGCATATTTATATGTATATATAAACGTTTTGCGGGGTTGAAACGAGTGAAAATGAATTCGTTTGACGCTTATGCAGCGTACGGATATTTTACCCACGTGGCAGAACTCAGGACTATATAGCTGGAAAAATAGTCGCGCAGCCGATAAAATTGTGCAAGCTCTCGCTTCGTATAAATAGAAAAAAAAACCCTCGCTCGAGATGAAACGAAATGTGCAAATGAGGCCAATATACACCAATGATCTTTCTCCGCGAGAGAGAGAGAGTTTTTCTTACTCGTCGTTTCGAAGAGAACTTTATACATCTCTCTACGAAAGCACACCACTGAAGCCCGCCCGAGGGGCTGCTCTCCAAGAGTATATTTATACGCGAGCGAATTTTACCCGTTTTAGAAAACGGGTATATATAAGGTCGCGCATCTTGCGGTGGGAAATTAATTTTTTATATCCAGCCTCGCGACAGATGCACGTCGTGCGCAGGGACTTTACTTGTGATATATCCATATACCTTTTCTTCGACGATATAACTTTACGAGGTGGGGGTTTAACGCGCCCGAAAAAAAAGTAATCTTCAATGAAGATAATTGAAATGTCACACGCGCGCGCGTCTTTGTCTCGAAACGAATAAAACGTAAAGTTGTATAGAGAGGTAGCCAATTTTCAAGCACACCCAGGGAAATGTACGAGTTTTTCGTACATACAGCTACGCTACAAACACCGCATTGTATCGCAGAGATGAAACAAAGTTTTTCGTGTATAAACCAGTGGGGTCGAAAAACCATATACATAATACCCTTCAAAAATATGCAGCAACTTATGTATACGCGAGGACGGACGAAAATCTCGGGGCCTCGCGTATTAAAATATGGAGAAGTTGCGCGCGACGCTTTTTTGATTGCGCGTCGTGAATTTTCGCGTATTTAGAGAGAGAGACAGAGATGCCAGGCTATGTGTATGAGCTCGCGAAAAGTTCGACAATGGACGTTTCTACCGAGGGGACAATGGGGGGAAAAGAAAATTTAACGAGATAAATACGTGGCAGCGGAGCAGATTGAAGCTCTTTTATTCGCGAGAGGGTAAAAAAGTATCCTTATGCAAGTTTTGTACAAATACGACCTCAACGACGACCACGACAATGTCTTTGATATATAGAGAGAGGAAAGAATTAAATGAAGCGTGCGCGAGAATAACAATGTAAATTAGCTTCTTGAAATGTTTTTCTTCGTTACACGATCGCTGCCTGTGATGGATGCAATTAATATTTATAAGAAAAAGAAATTGATTAAACATTTATAATTTCAGAGATGAATTGGAAAAAGTGACATTCCCAAATGAATAATCAACAGTCCGCCAAATTTTGTTTAATTCAACAATAAAGTACCAACATGGTAGTGAATGGAGGGGTGATGATAGTTGAAAAAGTATGAAATTCAAATGAGACACAATCATATCACGAAATTTTTATTGGAATTTATCTATACATATTTACAACTCTAAATCATTATTTTTTCTCGCGTCTATTGCAAGCGTAATCTTTGCAACTTTCGTGTGTTATTTTTTGGTGTATCAGCCAAGTCACTTTTTGTTTAAATTTTTTCGCACATTTTTCGCATGCGTACTCTTTGCGACCTTCATATAGACTGTCGTTTAAATCATCGCGACCGTCGTATGCGTTCCTGAGGTGTCTAATCAATGTCAATTTTTTTCCAAATTTCTTATCGTAACTGTCTCAGGCGGAATCTTTGCGACCTTCGTGGATTGTGTTTTGGTGACGAAGTAAATGAACTTTTTGCCCGAATTTTTTTTCGCACTTGTCACATGTGTAATCTTTGCGACCTTCATGAACTGTTCTTTGGTGAACACGCAAATTCGATTTCTGTCCAAATACTTTTTCACAAATGTCGCATGTGAAATCATAGCTAATTTCGTGTGCTGTTTTTTGGTGGTAGAGCCAATTCGTTTTTTGTCCAAATTTTTTTTCGCATTTGTTGCATGCGAAATCTTTCCGACCTTCGTGGATTGTGTTTTGGTGACGAAGCAAATGAACTTTTTGCCCGAATTTTTTTTCGCACTTGTCACATGTGTAATTTTTGCGACCTTCGTGGACTGTCCTTTGGTGGGTAATCAGATTCACTTTTTGTCCAAATACTTTTTCACATATGTCGCATGTGAAATCTTTGCTCATTTCGTGTACTGTATTTTGGTGGTAGAGCCAATTCGATTTGGTTGCAAATTTCTTCTCACACTTGTCACATGCAAACTTTTTTTGACCTTCGTGTATCGTCTTTTGGTGAAAAAATAAATTAGATTTGTGTCCAAATTTTTTTTCGCATTCACTGCATGTGAAATCTTTCCGACCTTCGTGGATTGTGGTTTGGTGCCGAAACAAATCTACCTTCAGTGCAAACTTATTAGGACACTCGTCACATGGGAAATCTCCTTGACCTTCGCTTACTATTCTTTGGTGGAAGAGCAAATCCGATTTTTTTTCAGATTTATTTTCGGACTTGTCGCGTGCGCCATACTTGCAACCCTTGTGTACTTTCCTTATATGTAAGAGCAAACTATGTTTTGTATCAAATCTCTTTGCGCACATTTCACATAAGTAATTTTTGAAAATTTCGTGGAATATTTTTATGTGTTTGAGTAAAGTTGATTTATTTTCAAATTTTCTCTCACACTTGTTGCACGTGAAATTATCGTGATCTTTGTGTACTAATTTTTTGTGCGTAGACAAACTCGATTGTTTCACAAATTTCTTCTCGCACTGGTCGCATGCATAATTTTTCTCTCTATTGTGAATTGTGTCACGGTGAGTTATCATGCTGGATTCTATTGTAAAATCTTTTTGACAGATATCACTAACGTATTTTTTGTCGTCTGAAACAACAATTTCATGTTCACCTGAGTTATCATTACAGACAACGACCTCGACTTTCTCCTCACTTTTATTCATTTTCATGCCTAAATTAAACTATGGATGCTTCTATTTAGAGCCACAGAAATGAAAAGAGTCAAACTTTTATTTTGGTCTAGTAGCTTGGTTCGTCGAGAAAGACAACTTTCAATCTAATTTGTTTTTACTATAAACATGATTAGTGTTCGTGGGTCTATGTTAAAAGTAACCATGATCACATTGTTTACGATCAAGGTACTGATTATTTGTTTATACATAATCCTAACAATTTCTTACAAGGAACTTTTTGCCTTTTTAACCTAAATACTTGTCAAAGAACTTTCTGTACGGATAACATTAAGTTCACCCAAAGAATATCAAGTAACTAGGTTCATATACACTCATATGATAAAAAATTGACGCCCTGTCATTCTTCATAACCCGTTACTGTTTACTATTCATCGATAAAAATAAAAATTATAATGCATTGTCTTGTTGTTTTTCATATTTGTTTTGGAATGGAAACATTTCAAACGTGCGTATCAATTGGCACTCCCTTGTTGACGAGATGAACACGTTGCCGAGTAGCAGATTGAAGCTCTTTTATACGCGATGAGGTAAAAACGAATTCTTGAGCAAGTTTTGTGCAAATACAGCGACAACGACGATGACGACGATAATGTCTCAGCTTACGTGAGAATAGCAATGTAAATTAGCTTGTTGAAATGTTTTTCTTCGTCACACGATTATTGCCTGTGATGGGCGTAAACTATTAGTACGAATTCAAATTAAATTAAGAATTGTTAATTAGTTTGAATAGCGAAAGAAATACTATCTACATGAATACTGATTGGCAAATATTTTTAAGAAAAAAAATTGATTAAACATTTATCATTTCAGAGATGAATTGGATAAAGGGCCGTTCCCAAATGAATAATCAACAGTCCGCCAAATTTTTTTTAATTCAACAATAAAGTACCACCATGGTAGTGAATGGAGGTGTGATGATAGTTGAAAAGGTATGAAATTCAAATAAGACACAATCATATCGCGAAATTTTTATTCGAATTTATCTATACATATTTACAACTCTAAATCATTATTTTCTCTCGCATCAATTGTAAGCGTAATCATTGCAACTTTCGTTTGTTATTCTTTGGTGTATCAGCCAAGTCACTTTTTGTTTAAATTTTTTCGCACTTTTTTTGCATGCGTACTCTTTGCGACCTTCATATAGACTGTCGTTTAAATCATCGCGACCGTCGTATTCGTTCCTGAGGTGTCTAATCAATGTAAATTTTTCTCCAAATTTCTTATCGCACCTGTCTCAGGCTAAATCTTTTTTACCTTCATGAACTGTCTTTTGATGCTTTAACAGAAGTGATTTAATTCCAAATTTCCTTTCACACTTGTCGCATGCGAAATCTCTCCAACCTTCATGGACTGTTCTTTGGTGAACACGTAAATTCGATTTCTGTCCAAATACTTTTTCACAAATGTCGCATATGAAATCATAGCTCATTTTGTGTACTGTTTTTTGGTGGTAGAGCCAATTCGTTTTTTGTGTAAATTTCTTGTCACACTTGTCACATGCAAAATTTTTTTTACCTTCATGTACTGTCTTTTGGTGTAAGAGTAAACTAGGTTTTTGTGCAAATTTCTTCTCGCACCGGTCACAGACAAAATCTTTGCGACCTTCGTGAACTGTCCTTTGGTGCTTTATCAAATCCGATTTTTGTCCGAATTTTTTCTCGCACAGGTTGCAGACGTAATCTTTACGACCTTCGTGGACTGTTCTTTTGTGTAAGAGCAAATGCGGTTTTTGTCCAAATTTCTTCTCGCACTTATCACAAGCGTAATCTTTGCGACCTTCGTGGATTGTTTTTTGGTGCATTATCAAAGCTGATTGAAATCCAAATTTCTTTTCACACCTGTTACATCCGTAATCTTTGCGACCTTCGTGGACTGATTTTCGGTGCCTCGACAAATCTAATTTACTTCCATATTTCCTTTCACACTTGTCACATGCGAAATCTTTGCGACCTTCGTGCACTGACTTTTGGTGTGCAACCAAATTCGATTTCTGTCCAAATACTTTTTCACATATGTCGCATGTGAAATCTTTGCTCATTTCGTGTACTGTCTTTTGGTGGTAAAGCCAGTTTGTTTTTTGAGCAAATTTCTTATCACACTTGTCACATGCAAACTTTTTTTGACCTTCGTGTATCGTCTTTTGGTGCTGATTTAAATTAAATTTGTATCCAAATTTTTTTTCGCATTTATTGCATGCGTAATCTTTACGTTCTTCGTGAACAATCTTTTGGTGCAAACGCAAATTCTGTTTCGTTCCCAATTTCTTCTCACACTTGTCACATGGGAAATCTCTTTGACCCCCGTGCGCTATTCTTTGGTGGAAGAGCAAATGCAATTTTTGTTCAGATTTTTTTCCCGACCTGTCGCGTGCCTCATATTTGCGACCCTCGTGTACCTTCCTTATATGTAAAAGCAAACTATGTTTAGTATCAAATCTCTTTGCGCACATTTCACATAAGTAATTTTTTAAAACTTCGTGGAATATTTTTTTGTGCTTGAGTAAACTTGATTCATTTTCAAATTTCTTGTCGCACTTGTTGCACGTGAAATTCTCGCGATTTGTGTGTACTAATTTTTTGTGCGTAGACAAACTCGATTGTTTCACAAATTTTTTCTCGCACTGGTCGCATGTAAAATTAGTGCGGCTTTTGTGTTCTGATATTTGATGTCTACTCAAATGACTTCGGAACTCAAATGTCTTCTCACACTTATCGCATGCGTAATTTTTCTCTTTATTGTGAATCGTGTCTCGGTGAGTTATCATGCTGGATTCTATTGTAAAATCTTTCTGACAGATATCACTAACGTATTTTTTGTCGTCTGAAACAACAATTTCATGTTCACCTGAGTTATCATTACAGACAACGACCTCGACTTTCTCCTCACTTTTATTCATTTTCATGCCTAAATTAAACGATGGATGCTTCTATTTAGAGCCACAGAAATGAAATGAGTCAAACTTTTATTTTGGTCTAGTAGCTTGGTTCGTCGAGAAAGACAACTTTCAATCTAATTTGTTTTTACTATAAACATGATTAGTGTTCGTGGGTCTATGTCAAAAGTAACCATGATCATATTGTTTACGATCAAGGTACTGATTATCTGTTTATACATAATCCTAACAATTTCTTACAAGGAACTTTTTGCCTTTTTAAACTAAATACTTGTCAAAGAACTTTCTGTACGGATAACATTAAGTTCACCCAAAGAATATCAAGTTACTAGATCCATATACACTTATATGATAAAAAATTGATGCATTGTTATTCTTCATAACCCGCTACTCATGCTTACTAAATTTTGATAAAGCAAAAAAATATAATACATTGTCATGTGTTTTTTTATATTTGTTTTGGAATAAAAACATTTCAAACGTCCGTATTAATTGGCACTCCCTTGTTGACGAGATGAACACGTTGCCGAGTAGCAGATTGAAGCTCTTTTATACGCGATGAGGTAAAAACGAATTCTTGAGCAAGTTTTGTGCAAGTACGACGACAACGATGATAACGACGACAATGTCTCAGCTTACGTGAGAATAACAATGTAAATTAGCTTGTTGAAATGTTTTTGTTCGTAACATGGTCACTGCCTGTGATGGATGCAAACTATTATTACGAATTCGAATGAAATTAAGAATTGTTAATTAGTTTGAATAGCGAAAGAAATACTATCTACATGAATACTGATTGGCAAATATTTATAAGAAAAAAAATTGATCAAACATTTATCATTTCAGAGATGAATTGGAAAAAGTGCCGTTCCTAAATGAATAATCAACAATCCACTAAATTTCGTTTAATTCAACAATAAAGTACCACCAAGGAAGTGAATGAAGGTGTAATGATAGTTGAAAAGGTATGAAATTTTTATTGGAATTTATCTACACATATTTACAACTCTAAATCATAATTTTTCTCGCGCTTATTGCAAGCATAATCTTTGCAACTTTCATGTGTTATTCTTTGGTGTATCAGCCAAGTCACTTTTTGTTTAAATTTTTTCGCACATTTTTCGCATATGCGTAGTCTCCGCGACTTACATGGACTGTCCTTTGAAAACTTCGCGACCTTCGTGTACTTTCCTTAGGTGCTTAATCAATGTCGACTTTTCTCCAAATTTCTTCTCGCACCTGTCACAGACAAAATCTTTGCGACCTTCATGGACTGTCTTTTGGTGCTTTAACAAATGTGATTTAAGTCCAAATTTCCTTTCACAATTGTCGCATGCAAAATCTTTCCGACCTTCGTGGACTATTTTTTGGTGAACAAGCATATTCTGTTTTGTTCCGAATTTTTTTCCGCATTCACTGCATGTAAAATCTTTAGAACCTTCATTAACTGTTCTTTTGTGTACGAGCAAATGTGGTTTTAGTCCAAATTTCTTCTCGCATTTGTTGCATTCGTAATCTTTGCGACCTTCGTGGACTGTATTTTGGTGACGAAGCAAATAACATTTATGAAAAAATTTTTTTTCGCATTTGTCACATATGTAATCTTTGCGACCTTCGTGGACTGACTTTTGGTGTTCAACCAAATTCGATTTCTGTCCAAATACTTTTTCACAAATTTCGCATGTGAAATCTTTGCTCATTTCGTGTACTGTCCTTTGGTGGTAAAGCCAGTTCGTTCTTTGTGCAAATTTCTTATCACACTTGTCACATGCAAAAATTTTTTGATCTTCATGTATCGTCTTTTGGTGCCGATCTAAATTAGGTTTGAGTCCAAATTTTTTTTCGCACTTATTGCATGCGTAATCTTTACGTTCTTCGTGAACAATCTTTTGGTGCAAACGCAAATTCTGTTTCGTTCTCAATTTTTTCTCACACTTGTCACATGGGAAATCTCTTTGACCCCCGTGCACTATTCTTTGGTGGAAGAGCAACGCGATTTTTTTTCAGATTTATTTTCGGACTTGTCGCGTGCGTCATACTTGCAACCCTCGTGTACTTTGCTTATATGTAAGAGCAAACTATGTTTAGTATCAAATCTCTTTGCGCACATTTCACATAAGTAATTTTTGAAAATTTCGTGAAATATTTTTTTATGCTTCAGTAAAGTTGTTTTATTTTCAAATTTTCTCTCGCACTTGGTGCACGTGAAATTGTCGCGATCTTTGTGAACTAATTTTTGGTGCGTAGACAAACTCGATTGTTTCACAAATTTCTTCTTGCATTGATCGCATGCGAAATCGTTGCGGCCTTTGTGTTCTGATATTTGGTGTCTACTCAAATGACTTCGGAACTCAAATGTCTTTTCGCACTTGTCGCATGCGTAATTTTTCTCTTCATTGTAAATTGTGTCTCTGTGAGTTACCATACTTGTTTCTAATGTAAATGCCTCGTGGCCAATATCACCAACGTATTTTTTGTCGTCTGAAACAACAATGTCATGTTCACCTGGGTTATCTTTACAAACAGCGACCTCAGATTCGTCCTCACTTTTATTCATTTTCATGCCTAAATTAAACGATGGATGCTTCTATTTAGAGCCACAGAAATTAAGTGAGTCAAACTTTTATTTTGGTCTAGTAGCTTGGTTCGTCAAGAAAGGCAACATTGAACATAATTTGTTCGTACAGTGAACATGATCAGTGCTCGAGGTACGGTGTGAAAATCATTTAAGATGTTATTGTTTACCATTTAAGTATCGAATTATCTGTTTATTCATTGTTCTAATAACATTTGAAACAATCAAAAATTCTAATTTAGCGACGATTCTTTCGAGAAATTTTTTGCCTTCTTAAACTAATAACTTGTCAAAATCTTCCTGTACAAACAACATCAAGTTCACAAAAAATATGATGTTAATAGATCCATATTTATCTGTGATAATGATAAACAATTTATAATTCATTCCAAAATTTACTGTCTCCAAGCGATGTCATTCTCAATAACCCGCTACTGTTTACTATGTTTTGATAAATATAAAAAAAATAATATATTATCTTGTTTTTTTTCATTTTTTTTTGGAGTGCATAAACTTTAAATGTGCATATTAATTCGCACTTACTTGTCGATAAGATAAATACGTGCCCTCGAAGCAACTTAAAGATCTTTTATGTGCGAAAGGGTAAGTAAGTATTCTTATGCAAGTTTTGTGCAAATACCACGACAACGACAACCACGACTATGTCTTTGATATAAAGAGAGAGGAAAAAATTAAATGAAGCGTGCGCGAGAATAACAATGTAAATTAGCTTGTTAAAATGTTTTTCTTCGTTACACGATCGCTGCCTGTGATGGACGTAAACTATTAGTACGAATTCGAATAAAAATAAGAATTATTAAGTAGTTTCAATAGCGAAAGAAATACAATCTACATGAATACTGATTGGCTAATATTTATAAGAAAAAGAAATAGATTAAACATTTATCATTTCAGAGATGAATTGGATAGAGGGCCGTTCCCAAATGAATAATCAACAGTCCGCCAAATTTTTTTTAATTCAACAATAAAGTACCACCATGGTAGTGGATGGAGGTGTGATGATAGTTAAAAAGGTATGAAATTCAAATGAGACACAATCATATCGCGAAATTTTTATTGGAATTTATCTATACATATTTACAACTCTAAATCATTATTTTTTCTCGAGTCTATTGCAAGCGTAATCTTTGCAACTTTCGTGTGTGATTCTTTGGTGTTTCAGCCAAGTCACTTTTTATGTACATTTTTTCTCACATTTCACGCATGCGTTGTCTTTGCGACCTTCAAGGACTGTCTTTTGAAATCTTCGTGACCGCTGTGTGCGTTCTTTAGGTGTCTAATTAATATCGATTTTCCTCCAAATTTCTTCTTGCACCTGCCACAGGCTCAATCTTTTTTACCTTCATGAACTGTCTTTTGATGCTTTAACAGATGAGATTTAATTCCAAATTTCCTTTCACAATTGTCGCATGCAAAATCTTTCCGACCTTCGTGGAGTAATTTTTGGTGAACAAGCATATTCTGTTTTGTTCCGAATTTTTTTTCGCATTCATTGCATGTAAAATCTTTACGACCTTCGTGAACTGTTCTTTTGTGGATTAACAAAGTAGATTTTAATCCAAATATTTTTTCACAAATTTCACATGTGAAATCTGTGCTAATTTCGTGTACCGTCTTTTGGTGCAAAACTAAACTAGATTTGTATCCATATTTCTTTTCGCATTTGTTACATGCGAAATCTTTCCAACGTTCGTGGATCGAGTTTTGGTGACGAAACAAATGAAATTTTTGCCCAAATTTTATTTCACACTTGTCACATGAGTAATCTTTGCGACCTTCGTGCACTGACTTTTGGTGAACAAGCAAATTCGATTTCTGTCCAAATACTTTTTCACAAAGTTCGCAAGTAAAATCTTTGCTCATTTCGTGTACTGCATTTTGGTGGTAAAGCAAGTTCGTTTTTTGTGCATATTTCTTCTCACACTTGTCACATGCAAAATTTTTTTTACCTTCATGTACTGTCTTTTGGTGTAAGAGTAAACTAGGTTTTGTGCAAATTTTTTCCCGCACTCATCACATGCAAAATCTCTCCGACAATTATGAATTGTCCTTTGATGGAAGAGTAAAGTTGATACATATCCAAATTTTTTTTCGCAACTATCACATTCGTGATCTTTGCTACCTTCATGTATTGTCCTTTGATGGTATAGCAAACTTTGTTTGTGTCCAAATTTTTTTTCACACTTGTTACATATGTAATCTTTGCGACCTTCGTGTACTGACTTTTGGTGTGCAAGTAAATTCGATTTCTGTCCAAATACTTTTTCACATATGTCGCAAGTGAAATCTTTGCTCTTTTCGTGTACTGTCTTTTGGTGGTAGAGCCAATTCGTTTTTTGTGTAAATTTCTTCTCACACTTGTCACATGCAAAATTTTTTTGCCCTTTGTGTATCGTCTTTTCGTGCTGAACTAAATTATATTTGTGTCCAAATTTTTTTTCGCATTGGTTGCATGCGAAATCTTTCCGACCTTCGTGGATTGTGTTTTGGTGCTGAATCACAATCCACTTTTTTCCAAATTTCTTCTCGCATTTGTTGCATGCAAAATATTTACGTTGTTCATGAGCAATCTTTTGGTGCAAATGCAAATTCTGTTTCGTTCCCAATTTCTTCTCACTTTTGTCACATGGGAAATCTCTTTGACCCCCGTGCGCTATTCTTTGCTGGAAGAGCAAATGCAATTTTTGTTCAGATTTTTTTCCCGACCTGTCGCGTGCCTCATATTTGCGACCCTCGTGTACCTTCCTTATATGTAAAAGCAAACTATGTTTAGTATCAAATCTCTTTGCGCACATTTCATATAAGTAATTTTTTAAAACTTCGTGGAATATTTTTTTGTGCTTGAGTAAAGTTGATTTATTTTTAAATTTTCTCTCGCACTGGTTGCACGTGAAATTCTCACGATCTTTGTGTACTAATTTTTTGTGCGTCGACAAATTCGATTGTTTCACAAATTTCTTCTTGCACTGATCGCATGTAAAATTAGTGCGGCTTTTGTGTTCTGATATTTGTTGTTTACTCAAATGACTTCGGAACTCAAATTTATTTTCGCACTTGTCGCATGCGTAATTTTTCTCTCTATTGTGAATTGTGTCCCGGTGAGTTACCATACTTGATTCTAGTATAAATGCTTCCTGGCAAATATCACCAACATGTTTTATTTCATTATCACTTAAATCATTTCTCGAGTGAATTTCTTCGGATATCTTTTCACTTTTATCCATTTTGGTCTCTAAAATAAACCATCGACCCTTCTTTTTATTAGTGTCTCGGGAATTAAATGAGAATAATTTGTCATTCGGTATTATGGCTTGCTTCGTCAAGAAAGACAACATTCAAACTGACTTGTTTTTACTATAAACACGATCGGAGTTCAAGGGACTCTGTTAAATATGAATAAATTATGATCGCATTGTTTACATTCAATTAAGGTATCGATTTATCTGTTTATATCATCGGCCCAGCGCAAGAACCGCACAAATAAACTTAAGGGGCAAAAACAACCTTATCCCTATGTTAAAAGGATAGGATTAAGGCACCTTTTTGCCACTTGAGTTTATTTGTGCGGTTCTTGCGCTGAGGCGACGATATGTCAGTCTTATAAAATTTGGAATGATTGAAAATTCGAAGATGAAATGATTGTTAAAATAGTATGAGATTTAGGTGAGACAAGATATTATTACGAAATTTTTATTGAAATTTTAGACAGACTTATAATCATAAGTATTCATACTTGTTTACAGTAGTAACTCATTATTTTTCTCGCGTGTGTCGCAAGCGTAACCTTAGCAACTTTTATGTTTAATACTTTGGTGTCTGAGCCAAGTCCCTTATTGTTAAAATTTTTTTTGCATTTTTCGCATACGTAGTCTTTGTGACATTCATGGACTGTCCTTTGGTGTAAGAGCAAAATTTATTTCTCCTGAATTTCATCTTGCATTCTTGGCATGCAAAATTTTGGCGACTTTCGTGCACTAATTTTTGGTGCTTTAACAAATCTGATTCGGTTCCAAATTTACATTCTCACTTGTTGCATACGATATATTTGCGACCTTCGTGAACTATTTTTTGGTGAACAAACAAACTCTGTTTTGTTCCAAATTTTTTCTCACATTGACTGCATGTGAAATCTTTGCAACCTTCGTAAACAGTTCTTTTGTGGATTATTAGCAGAGTAGATTTTAGTCTCAATATATCCACAAATGTCACATGTAAAATCTTTGCTAATTTCGAGTATCGTCTTTTGGTGCCAATCTAAACTATTTGTGTCTGAACTTTTTTTGCATCGGCTCCATTCGTGATCTTTGCTACCTTCATTTATTGTCCTTTGATGGTATAGCAAACTATGTTTGTGTTTAAATTTTTTTTCACACTAGTTACACGTGTAATCTTTGCGACCTTCATGAACTGTTCTTTGGTGTACAAGTAAATTCGATTTCTGTCTAAATACTTTTTCACATATGTCGCATGTGAAATCTTTGCTATTTTCGTGTACTGTCCTTTGGTGGTAAAGCCAGTTCGTTCTTTGTGCAAATTTCTTATCACACTTGTCACATGCAAAATTTTTTTGACCTTCGTGTATCGTCTTTTGGTGAAAAAATAAATTAGATTTGTGTCCAAATTTTTTTTCGCATTCACTGCATGTAAAATCTTTGTAACCTTCGTGAACAGTTCTTTTGTGGATTAGCAAAATAGATTTTAGTCGAAATACTTTCCTACAAATTTCACATGTTAAATCTTTGCTAATGTCGTGTATCGTCTTTTGGTGCAAATCTAAACTAGATTTGTGTCTAAACTTTTTTTCGCATCGATCACATTCGTGATCCTTTCTACCTTCATGTATTGTCCTTTGATGGTATAGCAAACTATGTTTCTGTTTAAATTTTTTTTCGCACTTGTTACATGTGTAATCTGTGCGACCTTCATGAACTGTTCTTTGGTGTACAAGTAAATTCGATTTCTGTCCAAATACTTTTTCACAAATTTCGCATGTAAAATCTTTGCTCATTTCGTGCACTGTATTTTGGTGGTAGAGCCAATTCGATTTGGTTGCAAATTTCTTCTCACACTTGTCACATGCAAAATTTTTTTGACCCTCATGTATCGTCTTTTGGTGAACAACTAAATTAGATTTGTGGACAAATTTTTTTTCGCATTTATTGCATGTGAAATCTTTCCGACCTTCGTGGATTGTGGTTTGGTGCCGAAACAAATCTACCTTCAGTGCAAACTTATTATGACACTCGTCACATGGGAAATCTCCTTGACCTTCGCTTACTATTCTTTGGTGGAAGAGCAAATCTGATTTTTTTTCAGATTTATTTTCGGACTTGTCGCGTGCGCCATACTTGCAACCCTTGTGTACTTTCCTTATATGTAAGAGCAAACTATGTTTTGTATCAAATCTCTTTGCGCACATTTCACATAAGTAATTTTTGAAAACTTCGTGGAATATTTTTTTGTGTTGAAGTAAAGTTGATTTATTTTCAAATTTTCTCTCACACTTGTTGCATGTGAAATTTACGAGATGTTTGTGTACTAATTTCTGGTGCGTAGACAAACTCGATTGTTTCACAAATCTCTTGTCGCACTGATCACATGCAAAATCTTTTCGGCTTTTGTGTTCAGATATTTGATGTCTACTCAAATGACTTCGAAACTCAAATGTCTTTTCGCACTTGTCGCATGCGTAATTTTTTTCTTTATTGTAAATTGTGCCTCGGTGAATTACTATACTTGATTCTAGCTTAAATGCCTCCTGAGAAATATCAGGAAAGTATTGTTTGTCGTCGGAAAGAACAACTTCTTCACGAGACGATTTCTCCTTACTTTGATCCATTTTGGTGCCTAAAGTAAACGATAGATCCTTCTTTTTATTATTGTCACGGAAATTAAATGAGTAAAAATTATCTTTTGGTATTATGACTTGTTTTGTCAAGAAAGACAACATTCAAACTAATTTGCTTTTACTATAAATATGATGAGCGTTCGAGCTAAGATGTGAACACGTCTAGGATATTATTGTTTACAATTTAAGTATCGATTTATCTGTTTATCCATTATCCTAACAATATCTGAAACGATAACAAATTCTTATTTGGCGACGATTCTTTCGAGAATTCATTTGCCTTCTTAAACTAAAAACTTGTCTAAATCTTCCTGTACAAACAATATCAAGTTCACAAAAAAATATCAAGTTAATGAATCTATATACACACGTATGATAAAAAATTTTAATATTCATTCCCAAATTTACCGCCCACGCCACGTCGTGAATGTCGTGCTTCATAATCCGCTACTGTTTACTATTCATCGATAAAAATAAAAATTATAATACATTGTCTTGTTGTTTTTTATATTTGTTTTGGAATAGAAAAGCCTGAAATGTGCGTATCAATTGCCACACGCTTGACGCTCTCGTATTCTACAGAGGTATATATTTTTTTCGTCATTTCTCGATCATCGATCTTGATTTCTGCGCGCGATGTATGTGCTCAACGTCGTATCATATACAGGTGATTCTGTTACATTACATCCGCCGCACGCTGTGAAACTGCATATCGATATAAATGAGTTTGGGGCGGACAATAACACTGCCCCCGAGTTCTCTTTATTTCGAACGCCATCGCTCGACCCCGTGGGCGTATATATATTCAGAAACACGCGTGCGAGATACGAAATCGATTGTTCAAAGCCTTTTTTTGTTTCTATCCCGGTCTCGCTTCTCGGTATCGCGTATCGAAATGAAAATAAAAAAGAATTAGCCGCATGCTCGCGATCGTTACTTTTATTTCTTTACCGCGAGTAGAGTATGTGGGTCAGATTCAGATTTTTCAGGTAGCGTTCCAAGTTCTATCAGCAAGTCAAAACATTCATATTTCTAATGAAAATCGTTTTTTTTTTTAAGTACAATCGCAAAACTTAAAATTAAAGATGCAAAGATAGAACTTAAGGAAATTTTTAATTAAATAAATAACGATTTCCATCTTTGCGATTTTCTAATTTGAAAAGGAACGATCATAGGCAAGAGATTTAAAAATATCGAATATACAACTCTTAGCTATTATACGCACGCGTCGAATGTCTACCTCTCCTCACAGATCAATTTTCTACCACCTTGACTTCATCTGCTAGTATTAGCTCTGTTCAATATTAGTAAACACTTCGAGCATTCGGGATCGCTCAGTTCTTTCGTTTGCTCAGGTTAACTCGTTGACATTTCGATTTCATAATCTATAATACTATCTCATTTTAATAATATTTGACTCATAGAAAGGTAGTCAAAGTTTACATTTTACAAAATGGAGTCTAGTGGTATAGTCAACTATGCGATCAAGTAATTGTCTTTGTGAAAATCATTGTAATAAGATAAGAAAGTGCATTTTTCATTTCATATATGTTTTCAGAGTAAAAGAAGAACTGCATGATATGTGCTACAACGAAATTGATGACGTTGAAACAGAAGGTGAAATATTCGATGGTAAAAATGTGCAATACCTCAGAGGTCTACCAGGAAATTCCGTAAGATGATTGATTACTCTAATTGATTGAATTATCATTTTTTTAAACAAAATTTTCATGAGACTTGAATTTTACTACAGGTTCGTACACTTGAAAAACGCGAAGAAATTCATGAACTTGAACCAAACCAAGAAATTAAGATAGAGTTTGAGTGCAAAGATATGAAACCCAATGTTAATTTATTAGTACCCGATGAAGTGAACGAAGAAATTCACGAGCTTGAACCTAACCAAGAAATTAAGATAGAGTTTGAGTGCAAAGATGAGAAATCCAATGTGGATTTATTGGTACAAGATAAAGCAAACGATTGGCCTCATCGGTTTCAGGATGTTAAAATGAGCCAGAATTTTGCAACTCATTCCTCTATTAAAATAGAAACTGAGAGTTCAATAGAAAATGAGTTTCTCAGCGATAATAGAAAAACTGTAGATTCAATTACTGGCTGCAAACTCAACAGGCAGAATGAAAAACTAAATCCTTTAACAAACGAAGTTATATCTATGGAAGGCAACGGACATTCAAAAAGATCATCTCGCCAAAAAACTATGAAAACCCATATAGATCCGGTGCATAATGATTGTATCACTCACCTATGTCAAGTGTGTGGAAAGACATTTTCACAAAAGTCTAATCTGAAAAACCATATTGATTCGGTTCATAACCGCATTAATCACCCATGTCAATTGTGTGGAAAGACATTTTCACAAAAAAGTTATCTCAAAATTCATATGGATTCTGTGCATAACCGTATCAATCACCCATGTCAATTGTGTGGAAAGACATTTTCACAAAAAAGTTATCTCAAACGCCATATTGATTCGGTTCATAACCGTATGACAACCCATGTCAAGTGTGTGGCAAGATATTATTACAAAAAAGTTATCTCAAAGTTCATATGGATTCTGTGCACAACCGTATTAATCAGCCATGTCAAGTGTGTGGAAAGACATTTTCACAAAAAGGTTATCTCAAAATCCATATAGATTCTGTGCATAACCGTATAAATCACCCATGTCAAATGTGTGAACAGACATTTTCACATAAACATTATCTCAAAACTCATATGTATTCTGTGCATAACCGCATTATTCCCCTGTGCCAAGTGTGTGGAAAGACATTTTCACAAAAGTTTAATCTGAAACGCCATATTGATTCGGTTCATAACCGTATAAATCTTTAAAATTGTTATTTATGACATTTGCATACGAAGGAAATCTGAAAAACCAGAATGATTCGATGCATAGAAGAAAAAACTTCATGCAATGTGCACAAGAAAATATTAAAATTCAATATTGAGTGTCAAGTGAAGTAAAAAATTATCAACGTAACTAGACATTCTACCATAATTATATTAATATTTATAAATTGTATTCAAGTTTATGTTTTTCAAATTCTAATAAAATAAGATAGTATATTATATTCTTCATGTAACTTTTCGCATTAATTTTCTTCCTCATTCACTGCAATGCAAACGTTCTCAGAATAACTAAATAATACAAAAATTTCCGAAAAATTGAAAAAAAAATTGTTTGCTTCTTTAATACCGAACTGAAAATAATTTACGAATTCTCGCATCATTGATCTTAAATTAGACTCATGTGCTTTTTTTCAATAATCACTCCTTAAAAGCCACTTAAACTCGCGAGAAAAATCAAAATATTCATTACGTGCGTCAATGTCGGGGAGTTTAAAAAGTTACGACCAACCCGGAAAAGGCTTCGCGAGCTTATATGGTTGAGTCTCCACGGATGTGGCCACAATCAGACATTTGTGAGGTATTAGATCTGTACTTTATAAATATGTAAACTAAATTTTTTTACGTTCTCTGATAGCGAAACCTAACACACACCTAAGTGGCGAGCTTGCGGCAAAGCTTTTGTTAACAATTTTCAAAGCCCTTTTCGAAACAAATAGTTGAAAGTAACACGAACCCATTCAGTGTTGTCTGTATCCAAATCTTTGACTGTTTTATACTTCGATTGATCATATTTAAAATTCGGCACATATTCTGTACGATAAAATTCAATATTTTCACAGAAACAAAATGAAATTTCGCGATAATCCGAATGACTTGTATGAATCGATAAAAGTATGAATCAATTGCATTGTTCCGTCCCAAAACTCGATTGCATGACCAAGCGATATCTCGCTCGGGTGCATGCGTAAAAAGCTCGGGATCGCCATGGAACGGATTATCATCTTCAAGGATTGTGGCTCGTGCTGGCGCGCGTCGAACAAAACAAAATTCACGTATGCGCTCCCGCATAGAAGTAAATAAAAAAGGCAAAACAACAACAACAACAACAACAACAACAAAAACAAAACAAAAAAGCAGAGCAAGAAGGAGAAGAGTAAGCGAGGGTCCGCATACATATTGGCGTATACGCAGCGATCTTCAAAAACGAAGAGAGGCCAGGCTGCCGCCGCGACGACGACGACGACGAGCTCTCGAGATATCTGCCGCCGCCGCTGCGCCTCGAGGGTCTGCTACAGCTCGTGGGTCACAAAAGGAGCTTATATATATGTGTATGTGTGTGTGAAGAGAAACACGAGTGATTCAAGCAACGGGTGAGATCGTGGCGGTGGTTACAATCAGCTGGGCGTTGTGTGTGCCCTGTCCATTATATACATACGTAGTACATACGTACACACACACACATGCACATTCTCAAGCGCGAATATAAAGGCGCAGCAGCAGCAGCAGCTCCCCTTGCACGGCATATAAGTATTATACGTATAGATGAGTGCCGATGTCATTTTAGATAAGTTTCTCTCTCTCTCGCGCGTTCCTTGCCGCGTGCACTGCTCGCCGCAGAGATCGTCTTTCAGCCTCGGCATAGCACAGCTAGAATATATACGGTATATATCTCCCTTAGCCACGTCGTTTTCATCGGGCGCTCCGAGGGAAACTCCCTCTGCCTCCCTCGCCTTGGTAGACACGCGCACTTTTTTTCCTCCTCCTCCTCTCTTACATACTTTAAAGGCTAAGTTGCTGCAACGTCAAAGCCTCGACTTTATATACGGATGGGCAAATACGAATGTCTAAATGTGCATGTTTATCTTGGCGCGAGAGGATATATACGTATGTGTGTGTGGGTCTGGATGTGAATGTGTATGAGAGAGAGAGATGAAGATTTTTTTTCCTCGGCACAAGCGTAACCGTGCACACTGCAAGAAGAGCAATCAGAGGCGCGCAATCAGATTCAAACGGACTGCCTCAAGAGTTTGCACATGGAGTTTTAGCCCGGCGACGACGACTGACGATTCGAGTTAACGTCGTTGGGATTACGACGACGAGATTTATCATCATTTTGATCGTACATATTATATGTAATAGTGTGTGTGTGTGCCGCGTGCACGCAACGACCCGATGACGACGACGCTACTGCTCAAGATTACATTTATACACAATTTTTTTTCCTCGCTCGTCTCGCGCCTCTCTTAAATATATAGGAAGAAGGACGAGGGAGGAGTGCACATTACACACCGAGCGCTTTAATGCGCGTTAACGCGACGACGCTTTTCTAAATTTAATTGACGACGCATACGATGCCTCGAAAACGAACGATTACGACGAAGATTGCGCGTGAATGCGGATACTCGAGAGCTTGATGATATTATATCCTCGCGTCCTGCTTTTTGGAATGAGGTGTGCGCGGGTCCATTTGCGAAATCCATCGTTATAATACGCAGGGCGAAATTATATACTCGCGTTTTTAAATAATTAAGCGCGCCGGGGGTAAATTACCGCGTGCGCGTGCGAGAAAAAAAGCTGAGTCGCGGGTAGAAGAGACGCCTCTCTCGCTCTCGAGTGGAGCGCGTCGCGCAATTGAGTCTTCTTTTTAATGAAAAAAAAAGCTCGCGAGAAAAGTGGGCATACAGATATATGTGTATAGTTGCGGGAGGGTGGATGCATCTTCTTCGAACGCGTATATACACATCCGAGTGCAGTGTAAATATTATGCACGCGTATTAAGGTATACAAAAATTAACGGTATCGACGTGCTCGAGAAAAAGTCTCGTATTTTTTCATTTAAACAGCGGTGCACTACGCGATTGTATGGAAATAGAATCAAGCCAAACACGACGAAGCAGCAGCCGCAGAGAAGAGATCGAAGAGAGCGAACTCGGCTCGCTCTCGGCTAACGTAATCTAGCGTAGAGTGTGTTTGTGTGTTTACTTGACTCTTGGGAACTTCGGGAACGCTCGCGAACGTGAGAGAGAGCACACGACGACGACGATGGCGAACGTCATTATTTTTAGTCGCGTGTATGTGTGTGCGAGAGAAGGAGGACTGGGGAAAGTGGAAAAAAAATGTCCGATCGACACCCCTGTGCGCGACGGCTAGCAGTGTGTGTACGTACAATGTTATATTTTCAAGCTGAGAAAGGATGCGTGGAAGAAGACTCGAGCTCGCTGGGGTAATTACGGCAATAATTTAAAAAAAAAAAAATAATCATGCGAATCGAGTACGTAGAGTGCTAATTTTAATTTAACCGCGGTACACGCATTAGAGTTAGTGAAACGAAGCGTCCCAGCGGTATTTACAACGAGAATATTGTAACTCGTGCACGCGCGCGTGGGGCCGTCGACTTTTTCTCGGGAGACACGTAAATGCATGTGTTATATGCGCTGCTGCTGCGTCTGTTCGCGTCTCTGCGATTGGCAAGAAAATCGAGGGATCGAGCGAGCGACTTTACGTACGAATGCATGTGTGCCGTGTGTGCGAAAAAGGAGGCTGCGCGTCGTTCCGTGCACTGCAGCGGCAGTAACGGGGCACGTACGTCGAATTTCGGGATGATTTTTGCTTCTGCCTGCCTTACTTTTTTTTTTTAACGCGTCTTTCTAGGTGAGCGAGTAGAGCTGAATCGAGCTTCTTGGCATTCCCATGACGTCGTCGTGTGCACATACGTGCATTTGTGCGCGTGGATAATCGAAGCAAAACTTCATTTCGAGCGTAATTTTATGCTTCTGTATAATTCCCGATCTATGTTACTTTGTATTGGGGTATCTTGGAAACTAGAATCAACACCATCTAGTGGTCGAACGCGGTACTAGAGGGATACCAAGGTAAATTTAGTTCTCAGAGCCACTCATAACAGTGTACACTTGAATCTTTTCTTAAAAATCAAATTATTGGTCAAATTTAACTCGAGTTCTTGTCATAATCATCTCGTTGCGTAAAATACGTACACGAAATTTTAATTTACATGGTTTTTATCTCAAAAATTAACAACTTGAGCTTAAATATATATTAAGAAAAACTTTTGAATTTGTTCAAAGAAAACGTGTCAATTTGTTCATAATATTAAAAATTGTGAAACATAAAAATAGATAAAATGGTTCTTTTCATACAAAATTTGAATCAATTCAGGGTGTTCAAAATATTATTGGCTCATCATCAATAAAACATCATGCATCACTTAAATATTTGTCAAATAAACTTGGCAACTTGTGCATGCGAAACAAGACGTGGAAGAAGAAGAAGAAGAAGAAGGAGAAAATTGACAATGATTACCTGCTCGGAGCGTGACCTCCCGCGACAGGACGATTCCCACGGAATTCGCGGCTCTGCATCTGTAGCGCGCGCTGTGAATCTCGGCGCGGAAGTCTTGCGCCAAAAACGGTGGAAAGTACAGCGTGCCGTTGCCCAGCAATTGCCTGTTTGACAGAGAAGTAAGAAAAAAAAAGGGGGTCAGAAAATATTTTTATTCATTGCGCGTCTTGAGAATTTCTCAGCGTACTTTGCATTTCTTGGATGCAATACGAAATTCTATCATACTATATCATGTATATTATTTATTATTATATTTATTATATTTATAAATTAGAAATTCGATTAAACGAATCGCAGTCGAGCGAAGCAATTGCTCCATCCTATCATTTCCCCCGTTCACTGTATAATGCGTTCGGCGTAAACTACGAGCCGTTAAAATGGAAAGTGAACAAGAAACAAAAGTATATATAGCGGGCTAAGTTTCACGCTCATGCTGTAATACCATAGCTGCTGCGGTGGCTGCGTACCCACTATGGACTTAGCCAAGTCGATTAAAGCGTTACGCGCGGCTTTCGAAACCAACCGGTGGTTGCGCGAGCTTTTCGTATTATATTAACGCGGGCATATATACACGCACGCGTTCGACGAACGATTGGGAAAATTTCCCCAGGTCGCGCGGCCGGTCTATTGAACTCGATTCAATATAATATATAGATTTTTTTCTCGTTGCTAATTTCGAGTTTCGTCCGGACGGGTTGAATTTTAC